TTATTTTTAATATTAATATATTAAAATCATCTAAAAATATTTAAAAATATTAATTTAAAAAAATAAAAAATATTTTAAAAATACAAAAATAAACAAGCGCGTAAAAACTTATCTAAATCTCAAATATTATCCCTTCCACCGAAAGGTATAGTTGCAAAAATTTATCAATCAGGAATAGAATAAAGTCACAAGAGAAAGAGAGAATCAATTACAGCGCAGCTTGCTTTGTGAAGATACAAAATCTCCTTTTTACCTCTATACTCCTTCCTCTTCCTTCTATCACAAACACCTCTTACCAGACGAAGAAATCAAAGATCATAGCCCCCAGAGAGTTACTCGCCTGTCCCGTTTGCTCAGAAAAGCCATCAAGCCAAAAATGGGTTGTCTGAGGCCTAAAAGATCCAAAACCACCTCTAACAAGAAAACTAACACATCTGAAGCTGCTTTCCTACCACAACAACAAAACCCACCAGGGCCCAAAAATGTCAAACAAGAACTTCTTTTGCAAATCCCAGCATGCACAGTTCACCTGATGGAAGCAGGAGAAGCTCTGGAACTTGCCAAGGGAGACTTCAGTCTTGTTAGAATCCTTGACGAGAATATTTCTCTTGCCACCATAGTTAAAATTGGTGATGATCTTCAGTGGCCTTTGACAAAAGATGAGCCAGTGGTTAAGCTTGATGTGTTGCATTATTTGTTCTCTTTGCCAATGAAAGATGGCGACCCTTTGAGCTACGGAGTCGCATTCTTGGATGAGTATGGAAGCAGCTTGGGCTTGCTGGACTCTTTTCTTTGTGAGCTCTCATGCTTTTCTGGGGCGGAAGCTTCTTCAGCTAGAAGTACTAGAAATGTTGACTGGAAAGAGTTTGCCCCAAATGTTGAATATTATAACAATTTTTTGGCCAAGGCTATTGCTGGAGGTACTGGTCAGATTGTCAAGGGGATCTTCAAATGTAGCAATGCTTACACTAACCAGGTTTGCTTTATTACGAATCATGAATCATTGCTTCTTTCAGTCTGTATATCAGTATTATTTATTTGAAATCAATTTATGGTTCCTTGAGTGATAATTGAGTCTTAAGACTCCAATAATATAAGAGCTTACCTTGAAACATAAAAAATATTGGTTTGTATAAGAGAAAAGGAAGTGGCATCATTCATATTGCCATGGATGGTGATTCTAAAATGAAGATTGAAAAGCAGGTCCACAAGGGAGGGGAAATGATTTTATCCAGAGCTGCAGAGGAGAAAAATGGTGCCATGGCAACAGAAGTTAGCAGCAACAGAAGTGCTGGGTCCACAAAGAAGAGCAAAGTCAACAAAAGCATAAGACGGTATCCTAAGATCAGACCTTTTCCATTACAAATGAGAACATGACAAAACTTTACCCTTCTTTTCAAAGCAAATGTTTGATTATTGCTTTTTACTGTTAACCACATAGTGTGAGAAAGCTGTCCAGGATGACAGAAAAGCTAAGCAAAACTATGCTTGATGGTGTTGGCATTGCCACCGGGTCAGTAATTACACCTCTGGTTAAATCCCAAGCTGGAAAGGCATTCCTGTCTATGGTCCCAGGAGAAGTGCTCTTGGCTTCACTTGATGCTGTCAGTAAGTACTGAAGCTAAACTAGGGATCCTATTCTCTTCCTTCAAATGTGTGATGACGTTTGCTGATTTTCCAAACCACAGATAAGATTATAGATGCAGCTGAAGTTGCTGAAAGACAAGCTTTATCTGCAACCTCAAAGGCTACAACCAGAATGATCAGTGATAGGTAATGACTCTCCAAAGGCAATATGCATGCATGCTTCCGCTCGTGTGTGCGTTTCCCATAATTTAGTGACCATGTCACAATTATAATTTGATAAAAAGGTGTAGTGATCCAGCTCCAACCCCAAGTAAAGAAGCATAGTTTAAAGATAAATTTTCAGTTAATTTTCAATTGACATCACAACTACAATTACTCGAAAAATGTTCACTTTTTTACTAAGTTCATTTTCCCTCTTTTTGGCATTATATTTCTCCATTCAGTAATGAGTAAACTTTACCATGTTCATTTTTCCTCGGCTATCTTCATCCCTATTTTGAGCAACAGGTTTGGAGATAGCGCAGGGGAGGCAGCTGAGGATGCGTTTGCAACAGCAGGGCATTGTGTGCGCGCTGCTTGGAATATATTTAAGATACGGAAAGCCATCAACCCAGCAACATCTGTTTCCACAGGAGTGCTTAAGAATGCAGCTAAGAATGCAGCAAGGAATAGAAATAGGAGTTATTAACCTGCGGTGTATTATCTTGTAGAACTTAATTGACCATTTTGCTCCATTGGTTCAAAGAACTGGTCACCAGAGCCACAAATTGTTGTCAAGCTTGAATAATATGACAAAATGCTCTGTTTTCTTGCCACTATCAATCGTATTAATGTTCCGAAATGTGAACGATCTATGCTCTAATGCTACAAAAAAGTGTAGATTATCTTTGGGATTTCATCTCCCTAAGAAGTTTTGGACAGAAAACTTACATCCCGTTGGGTTATCTTAATTCTTCTGGTTCCTGATGCATGAAAACTCCATTTGAAGCTCTCATTCCGCACCACAAAAGTAGCACAGCCTTTCAACATGGTAGGTGAAGCAAATAACTCTACCTGAAGATAAAATTATTAAACAGGAATCAGGAGTAGAATTAAGCTCAAGGAGAATCAATCTCACAGTTTTGACTTATTATATATTGTTTTGAACCTGGGGTATAACGTTGTGTCATTTCATCAACCTCTCGTCTTTCTTCTTCCTTTTCATTGATAGCAAAATAATTTCTCTTCGGACAGAAGGCAAGATTAGAATTAGAGGAGGCATTTTCCGGCATGGTGGCCCTGAAATCACTTTCTTAACAAAACAGAAGAACCCAGAAACCAAAACTATCAACAAAGAGTTTCGGTTGCAGATTCCAGGATGCGCAGTTCATCTGATGAATGAAGGAGAAGCTCTAGAGCTTGCCAAGGGCAAATTCACGATAGCTCGAATCTTAGACAAGGGTGTTTCGTTGCTAACATGGTAAAAGTTGGTGACAATCTCCAGTGGCCACTGACAAAAGATGAGCCAGCTGTGAAGCTTGATTCCCTCAACTATTTGTTTTCTTTACCAATGATGGATGGTGATTCCCTCAACTAATGCTGATGAGGAACAAATGGGATTCAAAGCAACTGAAATTAACAGCGATAAAGTTGCTGGGGCCGTACGGTGTCCAATTTGTTTAACATAATAGTTAAAGAATAATTTTAAAGTTAAATTAAAAATGAATTACATTTATTTATTTATTTTTAGGTTAAAATTTAATTTTTAACCTAAGCTCTTCAATATAAAATATTAATATAATTTAAATAAATTGTATGTGAATAAAATATTAATATAAAAAACTTGATATATTTTGATGAAACTCACAATCTTCTTTAATTTAATTTTGATGAAACTCACAATCTTCTTTAAAAAAAAAACTTTTTTAATATTATAATAAAAAATTAAAAAGTTAAAATTAAGCTAAAGAGAAACTCAAATTTTTAGAAAGAAAGATAATAAAAACTCAAGTTTGAGATTATTATAAGCTCATGAATAAAGAAGTTAGTAAGTTTTTCTGAAAGTATTTTATGCAAGCATGAATAATTTTTTGAACTTCAAAACATTAGATTTATAGCTAAAACATTTGATTTTAATTTTAGTTTATTATAACTACTTTTTTATTATTTTAACTTCTAAAATCAACTATATAAAAAATGGGTCAGTTTTTAGCCATAATATTTTTAGATTTTACACACTTTCTCAGCTCAGATTTAAGTGCTTTCTTTTTAAGTTTTGAGCTTTGAATTTCTTTATAATATAAAGTTTATATTCATGTTTTTAAAACATATTTAAATACGTACTTTACATTAATAAAAATTTTAAAAATAAATAATTTATTTTTTACAATAACAGTATTTAATCAATTTTACTATATTTCAACAAGTACTCTTATTTGATTTTGTTTATTCTAATGTATTATACATGTCAGGAAGATTAATATTGAATCGCTTATATTACTTTGAATATTTACTCAGTAGGCATGCTATAACTTTTACATGTTTTAGTTACATGTTTTCCATGCTGTATATGTTTATAAGCTTATAATATAAACTTGAATGTTCTCTAGTTATATGTCTGTCGGATATCTAATTTGATTATAATGTTTTTATTTTTCTAAACTAAACAATCCTTAATCATTTGTTTAATTAATCCTAATGTTTTGTTACTGTACTAGAAACAAGAGCAGAGCCACCCAAAGCTTAAAGCGGTAACTGATCCAATATAAATATACAAGTGCAGTGGTTTAAGTGATCAACCAAGATTTCCTCTCAAGTGATAAGAAGCTGCTCTTTTGCTATTGATTTAATAGCGCGACAAATTCATCCATGATGAAAGAAAATATTAGTATAGCTATGTTTTGTAATAATATATATTATATATTGGATATTATTTAATAGTTTAAATTATTAAATTAAAATAATTTTTTAATATGATATCAAAACTTTAATAACTAAGTGATTATGAAATTAAATTTTACTATTCTTACTTATTTGATAAAAAAATAATTCAAGTTTAATACCATAATCTCCGTTTTACCATTTCTATTTATTTGATAAAAAAATAATATATACATTAAGTTTAATACCATAATCTCCATAAACACAATGGGATAACCTTCTCTAAAATAGTATCTACAGCAAACAAAATGGGTTTTTCACTGAGCACATTTTGCTCCATAACCCATGCACAAAGACAGCTTTGGCATATGGTGTGTTGGTGTTACCTTGGTTATTTTAGACGCTCCTTTCTCCTCATTGTGTGCCATTAACCCCCACAGACTTAATGCTTAATTTCCTCTTAATTTTCTGATTTGAAACTTCCACAGTTTGTTCTGTTTGCTTATTATTATGTTCATCACTTCTCCCCATAGATAAACTCCCATGAAGAAAGTTCTTCATCCTCTGCCTCTTGCTTTCTCTCTTGCAAGGCTCTCCCCTTTCTTCGGCGTGGTGTCCTGCCTTTACCATGGGCTCTTGAAGAGTTGTCTTATTGGGCTTTCTTGGCCACTTGGGGTTTTTCACCAGTCTGGCTTTTCTTGCAAACAGAACTCTTTTCGGCTCAGCTAGCCTTTTTGGGCTTCCTGCTTCAGTTACATTTGGAATCCATATGCGAGGAGGCAATCCATCCGGCTTCTGTTGATCATTAATATTCAGCCTGGTAGGACTCCATCGTATAAAATAAATTAAAATGTATTATAAAATTTAATTTATAAACAATTCAATATTAAGAGGGCATTTTTCTAAGGGGAAGCTGTTGCGTTTTCTCTAAACTCAATAAAACTAGTGCTTGGATATAAATAAATAACTGTGATTTGGAGCATTAACCCATTAAAACTAAGGTTTAATTTCAGGTTTTGATGAAACAACCTTTTTCATACTTTTAAAACTCTGACCAGCTATGAATATTGAATGCTTGATGTCGTCATCATCAATATATATATATAAAATAGTTATTATATTAAAAATCAATATTACTTGTTCATATCCATAAAAAACATAAGAAATAAAACTTGAATTTACATGAGGTATGGTTAACAAAAAAGAAAAAAAGAGATAAAGAGAAGCATATAATACCTTAGTGGAGGGGAGGGGGGCTGGGGTGTGTTAACACAAGGAAAAAACACTTAGCTTTTCTATTTACTGTTCCAACCTGATTAGGTCTGGTTTAAAATTAAATATATCGAATTTGGTCCGATTTAGTTAAAAAATTTAATTTTTTTAATTGTGTTTTATTCAAAAAGTTAGAAAAAAATTGCTTGATGATTTAGTATTTACAGAATTTGATCGAATAATAAAAAATATTTGATATCAATATTATTTATTTCATAATATAATAGCAGTAGTTAAATTTATAATATTTAAATTAAAAACTATCAATATTAATATATATATATATATATATTATATTTTATAACCCCAATTTGAAAAATATTCTTTTAACCAAATACATTAAATTACTTTTTGTTCAACCTCAATTTTAACCAAACATATATTTTTTTAAACCAACTTCAACTAAAAATATTTTTTATAAAGCATTTTTTTTCAAATCACAACTATAACAATTATCACAATATCAAACACACTCTAAATGATAAAATTAAAAAAATCTCAATAAAAAACAAACGAAAAACATCTTGAGTCAACCTATTAAATATTATTCTCAAGTCATGAAACCAAATTAATCTATAAAACCAAAAAAAAAATTATGAAATTTAATTTTTAATTAATTTTATATTAAAAGATAATTTTTTAAAAAAGTTAAATAAAAAAAGCTATAACCAATTGAGTTATTTATCAAACTTGTAATCTGTATTAAAAAATAAAATAGTTTAATAAAAAATAAATTTAATATTAAAAATAAAATAAAATAAAAAATAATCGAGGCAAATGTCTTCTCAATCCACACGAAAACACGTGGGAAAATAGTTACTGGATTGTTAATGAAATTGATTGGATGCTACAGGCTTTCCACATGCGTTGAAAAGATCTTATGGAGTAGAGAAATGAAAGACCGCTTCTCATTTATCATTTACTTCTCTGTTGAGAATCAAAGGAGGACCCACTTCTCTTCTCACATAATAATAAAAATGTGTTGATTATTTTTATGATAATATTTTTTAATTAAAAATATATTTAAATAATAATTATTTTTTTATATTAACATATCAAAATCATAAATTCAAAATGATTAGTATCTGGCAGCACCGCGAATTTGACCATAGCTGGCGCATAATTGCACGGACAAAAGAGAGATGATTTTTATTACAAAACACATGCTCGCCCATCATCAGGACAGCCAAACAAACCTTTTTTTATTCTGTCGGAGAACTCTCCAGCGCGGCGACATTGCTTTCAATCCAGCTCATAATCACAAACGGGTAACCATTGGAGGGTGAAGATTTGCAATCATATACGCCTTGTTTGGTTGTAGGAAATTGATTTGTTATCTAGCAAACAGTTTTTACATTTTTTTTTTTTTTAGTATTTAGAGACTTCCTAATAGCAGAAGCAATTAAAATGCTCTCTCGTGGCAGTGGCACGTGCATGAAGCCCAGAGTGCTTCTACGAGGATGCAAAATCTGGTCCTACTAGTTTTTCTCAAAGCCATCTTAAAAATTGACCATTTCAAGTTTGAGTAATTCAATGGTTCAACTTTGAAGGATTTCATTATTTATTTTTCTTTATATTCTCTTTTAAATTATTATTTTTCAAATGATGATGTTTGAGTTTAAAAAATTTAAACTAATATTATTTCAGGATAAACTTATTAATTTATGAGCTGGTTCGACAAACAATTTTAATCTAATACTTTATCTAATATCTATATTGATATTATTACTTAATTATCTTTAAATATGAAGGCATGATATATATATATATATATATATTATAGGATTTCAGTTCATTATTATAAAAAAATAAGTAGGACATTAGAGGTAATAACTGTAAATTTTGAGGTGACAACACCTATAACGAATGTTTAAGTTTTGGTTTTTTTTTTGTTATCTAGTTTTGTTAGATATATTTCTCTATTATAAGATGTTTGTGAGTCAATTCATTTAAATAGATGGATAATCATGATGACTTTTGACAAGTATTTAAGATTTAAAATACAAGTTTTTATTATTTACTTGTTTAAATATTGTTATTACTTGTCTAGTTCTTCTTAGACTATAAAAGATATGACATGATTTTATACTTTTTATAAGAGAATGACACAAAATCCCTTGAAATATATTTTTCATTATAAATCGTTGTCAGTAAAGAATTAAAAAAGTAATTAGATCATAATATGCTAAAGTGGTTGTATAACCTTTGCTAAAAAAATATAAGGATATTCTGCAGTTTAAAGAGTATATGTCACAGGAAATAATATTTATTTTTTCAGGTCTAAATAAACAGAATGTTGTTTAGAAACTTTTCTAATAATTATCAATATTACCTCTTTCGGTTGGCCAAAAGATATTCTTTAGATGACAATATTTATGGTAAAAAAGATATTTGTCATCTTCATTGCTTTTAGCAATATAACAGTTACACTAATGTTTGAAAATGTTGTTTATAGACAAGCCTCAATCTTTAAGATAATTGAAGAACAAGAAAAAATGAGCT